TACATTTCTAAATTTGAACATGAATTTACAGATTTCACTTATTGATTTGTATTCACTTTTAAATATTTCAATGTTTTTGAAGTGCTGTAAATTACATACATTTTTAAGTGACAAGAAAAGTTGTATTGTTATTGGCTGTTAACTCTTAACATTAAACAAACACAAGAAATAGTTTATTTTAAAACATAAAGCTACTTACATAGTCAGCTACTGCTTACATAGTCAGCTAATGCTTAAATAGTCAGCTAAACTTACATAGTCAGCTAAGGCTTTCATGCCACTTGGGAATCTATTGGGATCTGGCACAAGCCGCAAGGTAACTGGATCTCTTTGTTTGGCAGCCCAGCAGTCATCAATATTGACATAGACATAGCCTGCGTCTCTGTAACCATCTGCAGCAAGTCTGTCAGCCATATCCATATATAGCCTTTCACTACCGGGTATAAAGAGATTAAAATATCTAACTTAGTTTATTCTTTTAGAGGTATCAATAAAATTATATTAATTTTATCTTAAATTACTCTATATCAGTATTGGGGACTTATACTTATAAATTTCTAAAAAATAGATTTAACTTTTAGACATTTTTTATGAATTAATAAAAATAAAATTAATTTAATTACTGAAGATTAAATTAGTAGTGATTTTGCTATTTCAATAAACTTACCGAGAAAATTTTAATTTATTTACCTGACACAGTTTCGGGGGTCGCTGTTGCAGTCAGTGTTGCACCGGAATCTCTGCCATGATAACCATCCCATCGGAGGTGTTCGTGCTAAGCCATTGTCAAGGGCGGTTGTGTAAACTGACAGTGCCACCAAGCAGCACAAGAACTCATGAAAATGCATTGCAACGCACCTGCAAAAAACAATTTTGTTCAGATAAAAAAAAAAGTCATAAACAGTAAATTGAAAGAGATGTTCCAGCAAAAAATAACTTTTAAACATTTGTTTTCACTTTATTGTTAAATATGGGCCTTACACAGCAATACAGTTATGCAGTTGCAAATTTTAAATTAATGTTTACAATAAGCCGATCATGTGTCACTTGTCAGGTTGGTGGAAAACAAGTGGCTACTGTACTACTAAGAGTAACAGTCTGATTTTTATCTGGTGAGAACAAGTGGCTACTGTACTACTAACAGTAACAGACTGCTTTGTATCTGGTGAGAACAAATGGCTACTGTACTACCAACAGAGTGGCTACTGTACTACCAACAGAGTGGCTACTGTACTACTAACAGTAACATTCTGATTTTTATCTATATACGACCACAAATAAAAATTATGACAGATGTATACTCATTTCTGTTAACCATCTAGTGTAGTATATGAGTTATATTTAATGCTATGAATCTTAAAAGTAGCTCTATCATTCATTGAGTTATTTATAAATTAAGTATAACTTGTAACAAGTCTCGTACACATAGTCCTTCAATTACCCCAGTCACAAACTATCTATGAAGTTAACTAAGAACTAAGAGCCATCCCTAAATGACATCATGCAAATTTTTAATTCCCCCCCCCCCCCCCAAAACCACCCTAAATCAATTTAAAATAATTTTTCCGTTTACCTAATGATTGATATCACTTTCTTTGTCATCATTTTAGATTGTAAAATTAATAATTGGCTTAATTGGCGGTTTTCAGATTGTCAACTAAATGTTGCTTCTTTTACCTATCTAATAACAATAACCCATCACTATGTAGTTCAGAAGAGAATTTCAATCTGTCCACACTAATCTCTCTTAATCTTTTCATTTACAAACTCTAAAAGATTCCTATCCCATTGGATAGGCCTATCAAAATTAGCACATCAGTGATAGAAACATTTCTCCTTAGATCAGAGTTTCCCAAACTGCACGCCATGGTCATGGTGCAAATTGTTACAATCAATTAATTTTCACCTTTCTGTGACCTCACATTGCTTAACCCCATCCCCATCTTCTGAAATATTTTAATTATGTGACCCCCATTCCCCCTTGGCCTCCGTGCCTGAGGTCACTTTAGTTTATGGATGGCCTCTAACTCCTAATGCAGTCTCAGGGTACTTTTTTTGGCAATCCTCCGAAGTCCGATCCCAAATTATTTCCATTGATTACTCCTTACACAAAAGTCTTAGGTATCATTTTCTTTGAAATTCATGTTTGCGGTAGTGGACGATGTTGGATGGAGGCTTTTGGCTGTTGAGATGCACACACACTTGAGCGCATTATCACTAGTCATGTGTTACCAGGGACAACAATCGTCACGGACGCTTGGCGAGGATATAAAAATGTTGGTCAGCTCAACAACGGGATGTATGCTCACGCTGTCCAGTAGACCAGGACATTCACACATAAACTATTGAAGGACTCTGGATGTAAGCGAAACGTAAATTCAGCTTTCACAGTGGTACTAGTCGTGATCTATTTGCCAGCTACTTGTGGGGCCTTTCAGTGGCGTAACAGTCACAAGCAGAACGTTTTATGCTGCTATTTGCAAATGCTATGCAGCATGCACAAATTGCAACATTTAGTATTTACTGACTGGTTTGTGAAGTGACAGTTACTTTGCAAAAGCTATGACTGACATTTCTGTTGTTTTCTAACAATACACACTGTGCATTGCAATTTTTTTCATACGAAATAATTTGGGATCGGACTTCGGAGGATTGCCCTTTCTTTAGTATACTTTAAATAACTTAGGCACTACTATTATTAATCTTTAGTCTGACTATACTATAGGCTACTATAATTATTAATTATTAGTATTAGTATTAGCATTACTCTCACTAAACTAAACACTAAACCGGTGACAGGTGATTGAACAATTTCAGAATTCAGTGAATTATTTTGAGTTTGACTACCAATCATGACTGACCAATGACAATGCTACGCACCTGAACTCCACTTTTACCGATAATACCACTTTACTAAAGTAACTTTACTGACTATATTATACTATACTACTACACTACGCTTAGTTAGTATTACAATTCAATTAATTACCATCTCACATTCACATTGTTAATGATTGTTATAATTTAGGCTAAATACATTTTTAGTGAAATACGTAAATACGACACAACTCAATTAAAAAATTGTTGAATATTTGGTCTCATCTTCAGTTAATTTCTTTAACACGATGCTTACTGGTCAATATTCGCGTTTTGTCAGTTGTTTTTCCTAGTTAGGAAAACGCTTTTGATAACTTAATAACTTGCTTTCCTCAAAAGGGAGGAACGTGATCATGTGACACAAATTATATTTTAGTCATGTGACTTTGGCCTGTTGAGTTAAAAATATGTCTATTGATACTAAAAAGTGCTTTAAAAATATTTATAACGTCTTCCTGAAAAAACTGAACTAAGAAATTTAATTATTTTATAATTGGAGTTGACCCTAATTTATGCTTTGGGTTACCATGTTTTGTATCGCTTATTCAAAATGTCATATTTAAACTTAGAATATCATTTGTTATAATAATGCGAAATTTGTGGAAGAAAATGACACTGGGGCATCCTTATACCGAAATCAAATGACAATGAGATAAATCCGAGATGAATAGGTAATATAATGAACACCAAGCAGTAAAGTAGCTAAGATTTTTGCAGCCCACTTCCCTTGTAAAAACAAAATACTGCCCTCCAATCTAAAGAAAAAAAAGTGCCGTCTGCGGCGAACCATCCCTCCATTCCAAATTCCTGGGTTCTTAATAATTTCTGCTCTGTAGTGTAACATAAGACTAAGAGTTCATGCCATCATTGATCATGAATATTGCCACTGCCCATGTCCCATGTGTGTTGTGTATTGCAACTATCACAGGTCTAGACATTATCATCCTCTGAAATTGGAAATTCGGAAATGAATCTAGGTGCACACATAAAAAAATTGGCTTAAGGTAATACTCACTCATTCATGAGGAATTTGATAATTCTTGCAAAGGACAAGGACACATGGAGAAATAGGACTAACTATTGTTAGATGGAAAAATTTTGAAACACCAATCATTACACTTCGACAAGAAAAACAAGTTTGGACCAACAAATGCAGTTGATAAAGACATAGAGTAGAAGTATTACACTCAAAAGTAGGTTTTTGGACTTTACAATATTTATGGCAAAGTTATTCGTTCCCATTGACAAGTTATATATCTATCATTAGACAAGTTAGTAAATACAAAAAGTGTCATTTTTGTGAACTTCTGATTCAAAACATGAGTTAATTTTAAAATAACTTCCAGCTTTACTTTATTAGTTTGTGAAAAGCACAGAATGAGGCTGGAGCAATGTAGACCCTAATCTTTGAACTTGAGGGCAAGCCATAAACGACATAATGTGTCTAGGGTTATGAATTTGTGATGTGTGTAATAATTTATAATATGTGATACAATTGTGAAAATGGAAACGAGAAGGGGGGATTGACCAAAATAGCCAGACATTATGTTTGGATCACCCTTAGGTAAAGTCTTAAGAGTTATTTGTGTGAATTGTATTTTTTACTTATTTAATACGGTAAAAAAAAAATCTTTAAATTTTTTTAATGTTGTTACATTTTTAAACAGACTTGTGTAAACCAAAGATGTTGGATATGGAATGATTCTGAAAATGTATTTTTTTCCTGATAATTATACACTTCAGTTTTCAATCATCAAAAATGGGGAAAGCAGCAATGCAGCATTTAGATTGAATGTTCATGTTATCATTGAATTGTGTCCATTGTCCTCATACAGGTTAAACGGAGACTTTTGCAGTAGTTTTACAAATATCCCAGCATAGGCCAGTGAAAATATCCTCATAGAATGAATCATGATGATTGAGTACTTTAATAGGGCTTGTGTCCACGATATTTTAGAAAAAAAGTCTTTAAATTTAAATGGTTCTAAATGACTTTTTATCATTTTCAATTTCCCTCAAAGATTGAGGACTTCAAAAGAACTCACTTCGTATGACTTCTTTCTGTGTACATCCCCACTAGGAACTATTATTAGTACATACATATACCTTTTTTTTTTAAGCACAAAAGGAACAGTAATAAATAAGTTGGTAAAGAAAAACAAGGACATCGTAGTCACCATTTAATATTTTAATAGTAAAATACAAATCAAAAATACTAAATAAGTTAACATACACAAAATTATAGTTTCTCTCAAATGACAATGTTAATACTCATCACAGTTATAAATGCAAATCAACACTAACATTCAATTAATGTATTACACGGTAATGAAGATTATTGTTTTCAAAATAGTTGTCCCAGATTTTTAAATAGTTAAATCAAAACTGGCCATTCTCAACTCAATCATCTGATTGTCTTATTTACTAGAATGTCTGCGCTGGAAAAAATTATAAAAATATGAAAATATAATCGTTGAAATAATTATTATGAGAAACTGAAGGTGGGCAGTCAAGATCAAAGTATGACGTTGAATTTCCACTTTGTCAAATTTAAATTTTAAAGGACCCAGTTTACAATTTGAATTTTTTTCAATTTTAAATAACTGATAAAAAGTACCATGAAAACCTTTTTTGTTTATGCGTCATTTATTTATTAATGAGTATTATTTTATGTTTGTTCTTTTAACAATAAAATCTGAGGCATTAACAATATTAATTAAGGTATTTTAAAATATCAATATTTGCATGCAAACTTTTAAGTATCAAAAGATATCTCTCAATATCTATGGAAAATAAATATATATAGAAAATTAAATATATTTGTTTAAATGTTAAAATTGTTATGTTTAGTTTGTACTTCTGGTGAAGTTAAGGTTACCCTGATTGATGCATTTAGAAAGTATTAAGCTTTTACAGTGCAACTTGGATCACAAGCTATTAAGGAGGACATTCAAAGATTAGTAGAAAAATAAAGTGGAAATAAAAATATTTTAGCATGATATAAGTTTGGCAAACTGATTAACCTTTGATATTTTCAAAAGCAGCTGATTAACCTTTGAACTTTCAAAAGCAGTCATTCAAAATATTAAGGGAAATGGAATGTCATGAAAATGCTAAGTGATTTGAGTATCAACTTTTTCACCTTAGCCAATTTTTTTAAATTTTCCAAAAAATACACTGGACACATCTACTTTAAACACAGCCTTTTCTTGAGTGTTGAATGCTCCAAGGTACAGACCAGAATACACTTCGTTCAAATAGTACTGTGCATTGCCAGTCACACCTAAATCTGCCAGTGAGACGGTCACTGTTGTCAAGTAGCCTCCATCATCATCATTCAGGATGGCAATAGCATAGCTGCCTTGTGGCAGAACAGGTTTAAGCCAGATCTGTATACTGTTTGCCTGGAGAAAAGTTCATCCTTTCAATAACTGAATAATATGAAATACGGAGTTTATGACCATCAACTGGCATCAAATTTTATCCTTAATACTGCCTTTTTTAATAAAATTCTAAGGTTTAGTGGCTGAAAATAACATGGAAAACTTCAAAAGACAGAAAGAGCAATTAATAGTAATAGACATTTCAAAACCTTAACCCCTTAATCTTACCTGCCCTCTTAAAAATATCTGCCCCCTTAAGCTTACCCGCCCCTCTTAAGCTTACCTGCCACACACGTTTTCCTTGAATACCAAGAGGATCTTGGTTAATTTCTATTGCTCCCTTGTTCAGTATTAAGTTTCTTGATCTTTCACTGACATTCCTCAAGTCATTAGAGAGCAAAAGTGGCGACGCCATGATGGACCACAATGCCATCTGGACCTCTTCTTCAGATGGACTCAAACCTTTGTTCCCAATGATAATCTGGAATTTAAATTGTAAAAATTGTCGGTCAGAGTATTGGCTGTTAGTAGTGTCACATGCTATAGCAATTAAGTGGAAGATTAATGCAGTAATTTTAGAACCACTTGAGTGGAAGGATTAAGCAGTAGTTTTAGAACCAATTGAGTGGGAGGTTGATGCAGCAGTTTTAGAACCAAATGAGTGGAAGGCTGACATAGTTAATGCAGTAGTTTTAGAACAAAGAACTTGAGTTAAAAAGAACACTGCTTATGATATTAGACTGATATGCTTAAATAAAGTAACAAATTAACTGAAGAAAATTTGAGACAAGACTTTGAAAGTGTAAAGTAAAAGCAAGGTTATCTACAACGTAATTCAAATGTATGATAGACTCAAGATTATGAATAAAATAAAAATGTATTTTTGTCAATATTGAAGCTAAAGAAAATTTTGTTTCACATCTCACCAATATAAATTTATACATTGTAAATGCTTGTTTTTTGAAAACTTTCAATGCAAAGAAAAAGCCAATAAAAAAGTATAAAAAATTAACTTATTGAACAAAAGTTGTTCTTTTAAAATGAGTTCAAATCTCTTTCAAACATGAAATTGAATAAATTAAACTGTTTACCATGTCAGGGTCATTGAAGTTTCCAGGTCCTGCTACAGCACTAAAGTTTCCCTTGTCAGCACCATAAAAATTGATGATGTCTTTCACAGCATCCCAGGAATCATCAATGTCACCATAATTTCTCCAGATATTACAATACTCAGCAATGCGAGGATAGTCAGGCTTAAATCAAAATCCACAAGTTAGTCATTTGATAAATTACTTAACCTTTTATTAATTATGTTGTTACAACCTGGTACTATGGCCTCCCTTTTGTTTTGTGACCTACTAACTTGGCACCATGCATTACAATTTCCCCCATGTGCTTGATTATGAAACTTGTTACTTAAGATTCAGAATTTTCCTGTCCTTGGTAACAAAAGATATCACATGTTTGTGATTATGAAAGATGTTGATAAAATGCACTGGAAGAAGTGGACACCTTCACATACTTGGGCAGCCCCATTGACATAAATGGTGGATCTGATGCTCATGTCAGGACTGGAATTTGATAGGCTAGGTCAGCATTTGTGCTATTAAAGAAAATAAGGAAGTCAACAGAGCTGAGTCTGGAAACATGAGTCAGAATTTTCAACACAAATGTCAAAACAGTCCTAATCTATGGCGTCAAAACTTGGAAAACAACAGCGAGCATTACGCAGATAGGACAGACCTGCCTCTGGACATCTGGACATCAAATGACCAAACATCATCACCAACAAAGACTTACATACCTGGAGCCTATGGCTGAAGATATTATTAGGAAAAGATGGAGGTGGATGGGGCACACTCTTGGTAAACCCCCAGATAACATCACTAGACAATCCTTAATTATGGAATCCACAAGAAAAAAGGAAGAGCAGTAGGCCAAAGAACATATGGAATTGGAGATGCAAGCTTAGTCAGGACACACAAAGTATGAGATACAGCAGGAATCAACTGGAAAAGAAAGCACAGGACTGAGATGAATGGGAAAACTCTTGTAGACAGCCTCTGCCTCAGATGGGGTAAAAGGCATAAGAATTAATGGTGTGGATTACTATTTCCGCCTTTTATTACTAGACAGATTAATGTGTTGTAAGTTGATATTTCGATCCCTTTCTCATTTCTATATATTTGATTTTGTAGCTATACTATAATTGTTAGTGTAAATAAATTGATGATTTTAAACTTCACTAGCTTTGGTATTGTTTAACTTAGTACACTGGTCTCATTCATTTGTTACATATTGTTCTTCTAATGAGCCAAATCTTAAAACAGATTAAATTGTTAAAACTTTACAATGGTACACAACAATATTCGTAAATTATATGATTTAAGAATAATTTATGTTAAACATTTATGGAAAAATTATACTTAGGTTATTATTTTTTAATTAAAGGTAAACTGTAAGCTGTGGTAACTTAAAAAGGTAGTTTTATAAAGTACAACTTACTGAATCCTGATAAGCTGGCCAGCTGCAACTGTATAATATTGGCCGCCCAGTTTTATTCAAGTAAAACTCCATGATTGGGTAGGCTGGGATGTAAGTGAAAAATGAAATTTTAAAATACCTTCTGAGAAATCAACCAAAAGATACATATAAATGTTTTGAATAAATAACAACAAAAATAAACAAATGGTTACAATTAAACAGGAGGAAAGGCATGTTAATTTTTTTACATTTTTTGTGGCAGAACTGTTTTTTCACTTTGGATGCAGCATTTAGTTGACCATCTTAATGTGAATTATATTGTACATAGTACTTATAAAGCAAAGCAACCAATATTTATTTTCAATGAGGGTGGGGGAGGTGGCGCCTTAAATGAATAAACGGAAGTCCTGATACCAGGTAATTCAAACGATACCGTATAAACTTATTTTGTATAATATAACTTTTTTTTATAACAGGTTCTTGTCTTTACAAAAATTATTTTTGTGAAAGTTCTCGAGTACTGGTGGTCAGTAAGTAACAGCAATATACGTTTTAAAAAAATTAATTACTGTTTAAATTAGAAAAGCAATCTGATAATGCGTAAATTACTTTCTATATAATGTATAAGCTTTATTAATTACTTACCAATGGTAAAATCATCAGTAGTTGAATAACATCCATCCAACTTCAGTGAATCTATTCCCCACTCTGCAAAGGTCTGTGCATCTAATTCCATAAAAAACTTACTGCCTGGGTAACCTCCGCAGGTAAATGTGCCCATGTCTCCATAAATTCCAAGCTTTAGACCTTTACTGTGAACCTGCAATTAAAAATTTCAGCTTATTTTATTATTCTTTTAACAAAGTAAAAAAATTTACACTTAATTTTAAAGGAAAATTTTAGCAGAAAATAGTTGATAAAATTCTCTTATCTGTGATTTTATATAGTAAAATTTCCAACAATGTCATGTCAATTTTGTTCTAATGATTTAACTTTTAAAATTGTATTATGCTAACATAAAATCAATTGAAAAGACTTAGAAGTTGAACTTGCATAATCAGCCAGAGCCTTAATCCCATTAGGAAAACGTTTGGGGTCTGCTTGTAGCCTCATTGTTTCTGGATCCCTCTGTAGAGCTGCCCAGCAGTCATCTATATTGACATAAACATAACCAGCATCCCTGTAGCCATCAGCAGCTAAGCGGTCAGCCATGTCCCTATAGAGACGTTCACTGTCAAAGTAGAGAAATACCAGGGCTGGGTTTTTTTTATATTAAAAGCAACAAAATTTTGAGAAAAAAAATTTTCGAGCTCATTTGTTAGAAGCTCATCAACCTCTTTTTTTTTTCTTGATGTATTTAAAAGAAATAAGATGGTCATTAATGATACCGGTAGCAAAAAAAAATTTGGTGAAAAACTGGTTAATATAGCATGTTACAGTGTCGTCATTTCCAAAAAGAAAGATTAGGAAATAATTTTAACTATGAAGGTCTTTGTGCTGTGTATGTTTAAGTTTATTCGATAAATTTGTATAATGTTAAAATTTTCTATATCATATTTCAATTTTTAGAAATAAATGTGCATTACCTATTTTTATAATATTAAAAGCAAATTACGTAACATATGACTTCTCAGCCATTGGTATAGACCTAAATTTCAGGGATCATCTTTTAAGCATAGTAAAAAATTTTAAACAAAAGGAAAGAAATCCAATTTATAATAATATAAATTTACCTTATGCAATTTAAAGGATCATTAACACAATCCGTGTTGCAGCGAAATCTTTGCCAAGACAACCATCCCATGGGCGGTGTTCTAGCCAATCCATTGTCAAGAGCAGTTGCATAAGCTGCAAGGGATACTACACAGCAAATTAAATTGTGTAGATTCATTTTTTAATATCTAAAAAAATCTGCAAAGATAATAATATTATTGAAAATGTATTTTTATAATGGCTATGGCTCTCGTGCAAGGTCATGGGCAGCATATCAACCTTAAAGTCAGTTTTTAAAAATTTTATTACTGATCCTTTACAATCGCTTTAGTGTTAATAAGTGATTTCGATTTAAGAGAAGGTTTTGGATAGCCAGCCTTTTCCAAATATATGACTTCCTTAATAAATTTAACCAAATTAATTATTTTTTTAATTACTCAGCCAACTAATTTAAGTTAACCAAATTTGAACTGAGTTTGAAGTATAGTTTAGTACAGGGGTGGGCAAACTATGGCCTGCGGGCCGCATGCGGCATGGCAAATGATGTTATGCGGACCTCGAAAGCATTTAGAAATTTTTAAAATTACTTTGTTTTTAAGCTATTTTGTGGAATTTTACAGAATTTCATGTACCGTTATGATTGTTTTAACATTTTTTATCAAATTTATTTCTAATTTTCTATTTTTTTAAACAGTCCTTGACTTTTGTCATGCAATGCTAAAATGCGAATTTACCAATTTTAATATAGAGAAATGTTTATCGACATGTAAAAATTGGATATACATGCAGCCCTCTAGTAGCTTTACAATTGTCAATGTGGCCCTCCACACAAAAAGTTTGCTCCCCCCTGGTTTAGTATAATTTATTTTAATATAGAGTACAGTTACAGTTTAACTTTTTTTAAAGAAAAAATGTTGGCAAATAAAATGTGGCAGTGGTGGTCGAACTCCAACTTGTTACTATTTATTTATTACCTAGCTTTAAAGGTACTGTAACTTTTATAAGTGAAGTAAGTATGAAAAACAGACCAATGGCCATGGGTACTTAAACTTGAACTAATAATAGTTGGCCATTTGAAGTTAATAATTTTAACATATAATTTTAAATCCTAGTAGTCAGTAGTAATTAATAATAGTGAGTAGTGGCCAGACACTAGTAACACTAAACTTCATATAAAAATGTACATAAATGTTTGCTAAACACAAAAGGCATGTGTGAGGTGCCACTTTTCCAGATTATTCCGGAATTCTGGATTCGTGAGGCTAAATATTTTTCAGCTCCGGATTGGTGAGTTTTTATTTTCTCTCGCTCCATATTTGCCAGTTCAGTTTATTCAAATACGGATTCTTGGTTTTAAAAAAAATATTAACATGTTAGAAGCCTTAAAGCCTATTCAGCTAGAATCGGGTTCGCTATAAATAGAACCTTTCCCTTTTGTTTGCAAGCATTTCGCTTCTTGCCGTGTCAAGTCTATTACTTACGCGGACAACAATATTGTCATTTCATTTAAACTACTACAGTTTGAAGTATGCAAAACTTATTTATTTGTTGTTTGCTATTTCTTCTTGCGGAGTTCAAAAGCCGGCGATTGGTCATGGTGATCGAGATAACCAACGTTAAGTGGCAAATTTGGCCCACTTTTGCGCTCAAGATATTAGGGTTCGCAATAGGCCTATAAAAGAACCAACATAACAGATGAGAAAATGCTAGGACAAAGAGAGACTTTGGGGGTTCCCCGTCAAAAACGTCGACTTAACAGGGTTGGCGAGTTAACCGAGGTCGAGATAAATGGGTTCAACTGTGCTATTAAAGGCAATGGCGCAATGACACTATGCAACGTCCTAAAGTTATAAGCTCAGGTCACAGTCTCAGTAATGTCAGGACTAATAGTAATAGTTTTTAATTGGATTCACTGTATTTAATAATATCATGAATCATAATCAAATTTCAACTAAAACTTTTTTTAACTTTAAAGTTATAAATAATAATTTAATAACAAAGCCTCGCCCGGAGAGGCGTCGTAAATTGTTACTGAAAGTTACTACTGTATCTGTAGTACCCGGCCCGGTAATCAAAATCAAATATAAATAATTAAAAATGTCCATTCAAAATCACATTTATTTTTACCATAAAGTTAAAAGGCTAAATAATGTGCCCTATAAATCAGCCAGTTCTTTAATTAATTATCCGAAATTTAAATAAAATTCCGAGTCTGACATAAATAACTAAGAAGAATTGACGATATTTTAAACAAAATTAAAAACAATGGACATGAGCAACTAACATTTTGAACGCCTATTATAAATAACAACATGTGATCAGTATCATGTGACGCCGGTAGAGCTAAAAATAAATAGATGCTATTAGCTCGGCTAACGTATCTACAAATGTTCTTTTATCCCATGACACAATTTCAACTATTTCAATTTGCTATACCTTACTACTACCAGTAGGCCCTTTTCAATCTGTAATATTCTCCACATGTAACATGTCTATTATCTACAAGTCATAAATCTTAGTATAGAGTATATTTTCCTTTTTATAGGGTAGACAATTTTATAGTGTAGGGACATACTTATAACTCATAGGGTAGAGATTGTCATTTGGAGTACTAGCCTGATTTCAGGTTTTCTCCTATATTTCATAAAGTATAAAGGGTCGAGACATTACAAAGAGATCCACAAATTAATGATGAAGAAGAGAAATGGAATTATTCATATTTATTCATTTCAGTTTCAAGTAAAAGACAAAAAGTAAAAGAAAAATTGATACAAATCACCAACCTCAATCAAATCATTATTTTTATTAGGAAAAATTTAAAGAATTTGTAAAAACATATTATGTGTCAAATATTAGAATCAAACAAAATTATGCAGTTTCTAGTGGCCTCTTTTAATTCACCCACAGCATGAAATCGTGGGTAAGCCTTAGTAATTAAAGAAGCAACATATTCCTAGCTTTAAGGGTGTCTTTGGACAAAGTCAAATCTAGAATTACATATGAACAAGCAATCAACAATAAAATTGAACAATTTTAAATGCAAAAATTAATATTTAAAATATAATAGAAGTAATGAGATTCCTTGAAAATTAGATATACCTGGTATCTACAGCTAAGCCTGCCATAAAATTAAATGTTGAATCCGGAGAAGGTATCGCCAGTGAAGTGAAGCTATGGGGGAGAGGGGGGGGGGGGCACATTATGTAAGCAATGGGGGGGGGGGTTAAGAGGGGGGGGGGGGGGTGGAAGGGGGTGGGGGGGGGGATGTTTTCCAGGATGAAATTTAGCTTTTGGTGCACCACTGGCATCACACACATCGCAGGATCTTAGAGCCACATTCCAAGATCTGAAAGGTCACATCGTACATGTTGGATCTTTCGCATCTAAATCTACTTTCTAAAAAATGATTTTATTCATTTTGTCAAAATCTCTAAACAGCTTAGTAATGATGGATTTATTTTTTTTATTCATGAGAAGTTCAAGATTACTAATTGTAAATTCTAGCATTTTTCTTATTGTCTCCTTATTGAAAGGGGGTGAGGCTCATAGTTTTCATGTTTCAGAAAGCCATTTTGCCAAGGCCAAATATTCAAAGAGGCGTCAAATTTATGGACTTGTTCATAAATAAACGTGCACTGCCTAATATAAGTATAAGCTTAAAAACTTCTACAAATAGAATTTTAGGAATTTGATAACAACCAAGTCCTGATATTTATTTACACTGTATCCAACAGACAGGTCAAATTAATTTATACCAAACTGAGATTGAAGCGAGACCAAGTTGCTATGTTGGGATAATCTCTGTCAAAATGGGACATAGGGTAAGCCTATCTATAGTGGAGTGCCGCAAGAAAGTTGCTAAACTGGGCTGATCCCGGTCAAAACGGGACACATGGTAAGACTATCTATAGTGGAGTTGCATGAGGGAGTCAATCCAGTGATGGATTCAATGTGACGGCACACTAGTCTGTACTTTTAAGTCATGATTGTGCTAACTAACAGTATTAGTTCTCACTCTTTAATTTCTGAATACATTTCTCTCTCTCTGCCTATAAACCTTTTGAGCATAACAAAGCACAAGAGAAAATATGATTTACTGATTATTTTACTTTCCGATTATGAAAAAGTGAAATATTTTTTGCAAACCCCAAAGGAAAACACATACAAAATCCTTTTTTGTTAAATGATGGTGAAATAATGTAATAACATTATATCGCAACATCCCCTCTGAAACATAGGAGCCAGAATGATCAATTCATTGATCGTGGGCCCTTAAAATAAAGAAGAAGAAGAAGAAATTTTGAGTTAGAACAAAATAACAATTGGATGATGATCTGAATACAGATATTCCTTGGCATTTGAAGCCACTCCATACCAAGAGTGTAATAGTAATATAGTAGATAGTTTAACAAGCTCAAGTTACAGCCAAGATTTTTCCCTCAAGTTATTCCCTATTGACACACAAAAAATACCAAAAAATGGTAACTTTAAGTTAGTACATGGCAAGTTTAGACATTTATGACATAAAATCAACTGACGCATCTTGAGGTAAAGCGCAATTTTTGGGAAAAAGCAGTATAAACAAGATCATAAAAATATTACATTTCAAGAAGTTAAACTTTCCTCAAAATTGCCTCCCACAAATAGTTGTAATATACCTATAGCAAGCAAACAGAAGTTTTTTATTTTTTAAAATTTTAAATGACTCTTACTTTATTCATTGCTTAGCACAGTATTAATATCTTTCTGCTGGCTCAAAAGTTAAAACCAGAACTATCAAAAGAAAATGATTTGACATTACCAATACAATTTATTTTATTTTAACTTAATAATACAATGTCTTTCCAAGATTTACAAAATGTATAGCCATGCAGGGCAATAAATCATAAGAAATATGTCAATTCTTTCCCCAATTGCGTCCGGATTTTCCATCCGTTATTCCATTGCATCATACTCTTTAAAATGAATTTGTATACATACCTAAATCTAAACTTGAACCCAACAGACAAGAAATAATACTTGACTGAAACGCCCATCAGAGAAAGACTTAAAAACAATTACAATTTAAAAAACATAACAAAATATTTTAATGACGACGGCTTCGTCTCTAATCCAATGAGCAAAAACAAAACCAAATGTGTAGCAAAAAAAGTTTTGTATTTATGTAAATGAATATTAAAATAATCTGGCATCGTTGTTTGAATATCTAATTGTGAGACATGATATCAAAAAAGCGTGCCATAAATCTTAACAACAGAGGTAGAAACATATTATTTATGTGAAGGCACCACAATACAAGCATAACAACTGCTTAATGCCCTGACGGTCCCACGGACTGGATTAAAACAAGTGCAAGAATGTTAACCTAAAATATGATCCCAACCAGAAACGAAACCTAATGGCCCGATATGTCAGAAACATGGCTTTCATCATAAGTCAGCCATAATTGATGTATGAGAATGAGAGGCAGATAGGAGGCTTCATCAATGCATCATTTTATACAAAAGTTCATTGAAAAATTTACTGGACAATTAAAGGAAGAAAACAATGGTAAAAAATCAGAGTGACCAAAATAGAAATACATGTCAGCAAGGCAAAAGCAAAGATTCATCTTTTTAACAACATCAAGTAATGACAGTGAAACAAATATGGCACCTAAACAATGAAGCAAACAATAAATGTCATGTGAGTTAGTTTGGAACAAACTTCACAAAATTTGGACTTTTTATCAAAAATTCAATTCATGTATTTCTTAAGTTATTTCATAGCATTTCGATCTTCATTGAACTTTCAAATGTCATAAATGAATAGTAAAACCCAACTAGCCATGTGAGGGTGTATTCATCCCACATTTACATTACAGCTCTAACCATGTGAGGGTGTATTCATCCCACACTTACATTACAGCTCTAACAATGTGAGGGTGTATTCATCCCACACTTATATTACAGCTCTAACAATGTGAGGGTGTATTCATCCCACACTTACATTACAGCTCTAACAATGTGAGGGTGTATTCATCCCACACTTACATTACAGCTCTAACAATGTGAGGGTGTATTCATCCCACACTTACATTACAGCTCTAACAATGTGAGGGTGTATTCATCCCACACTTACATTACAGCTCTAACAATGTGAGGGTGTATTCATCCCACACTTACATTACAGCTCTAACCATGTCAGGGTGTATTCACCCCACACTTACATTACAGCTCTAACCATGTGAAGTGTTTATCCAACACTTACATTACATCCAAGTGCAATAACATCAAACTGACAAAGAAATAATTTAAGAGTCAAGTTGTTTTAGTCCCAGGTAATGTAGCGCACAAAATAGATTAAAAATATTTCTAGGAACTTTGGTACATAAATTTGGTGCATAACTTTGGACATTGGGAAACAAATACTGTTCAATTTTTTACTGTCTTAGTTAATATTTAACTGTTTTAGTTCATTAACTATTTTAGTTCATATTAACTGTCTTAATTCATGTTTAATGTCTTAGTTCATATTTTACTGTCTTAGTTCATATTTTACTGTCTTAGTTCATATTTTACTGTCTTAGTTCATATTTTACTGTCTTAGTTCATATTTTACTGTCTTAGTTCATATTTTACTGTCTTAG